GTGGTTTGCCTTGAACAAAAAGGAAAATCTTTTTCATTTTTCACATTTTTCGTATATATATATATATATATATATATATATATTCAATCTTTTAAAGGAAGGAGTACAAGAGAGATAAGAGGCTAGAAAAATACAATTCCCAATCGACAAACAAAGATCGTTCGGCATCAATACCAACGATCACCAGATTCCGTGGAATCAGATGCAAACAACCTCGAACAATCAACTCCATCCTAGTCTAAACTAACTATGCACACAAAGGAAAATAAAGGAAAGTATGGAAAGATCTCACCAAATGCTGCTTGAATTAGAACACAAGACAAATATTGCGATCTCACCAAGGTTCCGGAGCTTGAGTTGCTCCTTATTCCATCTTTTTGTGTTTCCGTTTTCAATCTACAAGGAAAGTGAGCCAAATGAAAAGAAACACTACAACTATACAAAGAAAAGTTAGTGAACAAAAGAAAAAGACTGGAATTATGAACAAAAGAAAATGACTGACATAAAAAAACCATCTACAAAATTTGGATTATGGGATTTGTTCATTAGATCAAAAGAGAAGAGGGAACAACAACTTATTAATTTTTTTTTTTTTTTTACATCATAACATCATCATCATAAGAATCATCATCATCATAAAAAAAAATATAGCCAACCAAAAATCATCACTAACTACAACAAATTCGTTATCCTCGATGGTTCTCCATATGCACAAGCTACCATCCTACCACACTACCCTCCTATGTACACTTCAACCAAAAGGAACATCCTCCCCCACGCTAGTCTTTTGCACGTCTCGAGAAAAAGTGAAAGGCATGAAAATCCGGAGGGAAGGGAGGGAGAGAACCCTCATTGGGGGTTTCTATCCTCCCGTTCCTTAGGAGGGTTGATGAAATCAAACCCGGGGCAATCCATGAATGGATGGAAGGGTTAGTTAAAGTGCTCATAGGGCCACCCTTGGGTACCCCAACCACCATCAAAAGGATTCGGGGTTGATGGACATGTCGGATCATAGGCGTAGTCACACCCACCCAGCCGATATGGGTTGTATGGTGGGGTACCAACACGTTGGGATGGGTCGATAGGACCTTCCCAATAAGCATAGGTGTTGGGGGTGGGGTTGTTAGGGTCATAGGGGTCCCAATGTGGAACCGGACCCTCTTGAGGCGGGTGGTAGGGATAGTTAACATAGGGCGTTTGAACGCCCGCTTGCACAAGATTATCATAGTTCATCCTTCTGTAGCACCCCCATTGTTTAATAGAAGCCTGATTATCATGACAAATAACATCGAGGGTACTACGGAGGGCACTCATATCAAAAGGAAAAGAGGAAGAAGAAGAAGATGTCTCACCTCCCCCACTAGGGGGGGGAATGGGATGCTCCATTTGGTAAACCGGTTGAAAGTGAGAGATTGCACCGCGGACTTGATTTTTCCTTAATTCATCAGGGATGAATTTCCGCGCAATCTTCCACCTTAGCGGGTTGGAAGGATCTACCGAAGTGTGAGGGGGATCCGGGAGGACACACCATTCTTCTCCATTATCGACCAAGTGGATAAATTTGCGATTCTGGGTGGTGTAGTTGATGAAGCGTTGGTTGCGGAGTGCAACAATAGAAAGAGCATATGGAGGGTAGCCGACGACCTCTTCTTCTTTGTTTTGGAGCACATGGGGGAGCAAATCAATTTGTTCCTTGTAAGCTCCACCATTCAAAGAAAGGGCAATGAGAGTGATCATGCCCCCCCTATGTGTATCTCATCACCAAGCCGCCCATCTCGAGTGTCCAACAATCTCGAGATAAAAGTGGTGGAGCATTAGAACTTCAAACGCTGAGGATTGTCGGCCAAGTAAAGGAAAGCTACCTCATCTTTCACCATAGAGCCGAGGTTTGCCTTGAAGAATACGGCATATTGAAGGAGCCGGGCGAAGTATCTCAAAGCAATATGAATGATGTTGTTGACCTTTGCGGTGTTAGTGCGAAAAACGGGCTTGGTGGAGATGCTCCGCCACCATTCTTGTTCATTATAGGGGATGCGACACATTGAGGTCATATCGGAGGGTCGATATAACCCGGTTGCTTGCCAATGAAAGATGTCGTTGAGCTCACTCTCGGTTAGGGAATGGTCTTCGTTGAACATGCGAAAGTGAAGAACGATTTGAGATTCATTCCCTTCATCATCTTCTTCAATGACTTCCTTGCGGAGGGAAGCAAGGAACTCCAATGTGACGCGTTCATAGGTGTGAGCGTGGAGTTCAATGAACTCGCCCCAACCAAAGTTTTGTGCGAGCCGAACTACTTCATCCATGATGCCAAGCTTTCTTAAGGTGTTCTCGCAGAAGAACCTTGTAGATCGTATAGGACGGTCTATAAGGGTCTTATAGACATCCCAAAAGTGCTTGTTCGGAGCGATGATGCCATGATCATTGATGCCGGTTGGAGGTGGAAAATTGGACGATGAAGATTCACCTGTCCTCTTCCTCTTGGACTTGCCTTTGCCAAAAAGATGCATTGTGAATCTACAAAATCACCAAGAACTAACATTAGGAAGATTCAAGCCTAGAGGAGACACAAGAAGCTTGTCAAGATTAAAAGTGTATGCAATGAGAGTAAAAGCCATGAGTTGTGAAATAGATGTAGATGGTAACAACAATACAATTCAAGGCATTAATGGACACTTATAAACCAAGGCATGAGCTAAAAGTCCTATGGCAATCAAATGCAAATCCTAAGAAAACCTATTTGGGCATGATGTCCCCTAAAATTCATGAAATACACTCAAAACTCATCAAAATTAATAGTCACAAAATTACATCCAACTCAAGAATTTCTCAATCAAAATGTAGCATGAACAACCTAGTGAAAGATTAATATATTCAAGCAAACAAATTGAAATCATGAAAAATCAAGGCATACATGCATATTTATCATGAAACAAGTTCTACTATCAACAACCAACCAATTACAACAAGGAAATCCTAAGAACCACATAAATCAAACAAGCCATGACTAACAATTTCAATTATACCACAATTCATACTTGAACATGTAAAACATGGTAAAACTAAGAGAAATTGAAGAAATGAACTTGCAAAAGCTAGAATAACCATACCACAATTAGTTGGAAGCAAGTAGAAATCCAAAAGTTTCAAGTCACTCAAACCCTAGAAATTGGGGAAAAATTGAGGAGATTGTAGGAATTGAGTAGTGGATGAAAATGAAGTGGGAAAGAGAAAAGATTGGAGTGATTTTTATGGAGATTTGAGGTTAAAGGAGGGGTGACAATGGAGTTTTAGAGTGAGAAGGAGAAGAGAAGAGAGAGAGAGGGCCGAAAGTATAAAGGAGGAGTGAGAAGCTGCGGCACTCGCTTTATAAATTAAGGTCACTTACTCGAAAAAGGTTTGGCCGAACCATAAAACAGTTCGGTCGGGCCATCAGAAGTTTGGCCAAACTTTTGAAAAGTTCGGTCGAACTTTCGGATTTTCCAGAACCTGCCAGATTGCAGCCCAATTTGACTTCTAGAACAGGAGCGGCCGAACCTTTGGGAGGTTCGGTCGGACCAGCAGAGGTTCGACCAAAATTTTGAAAAGTTCGGTCGAACTGCCGGATTTTCTAGAATCTGGCAAATTGCAGCCCATTTTGAGTTCTAGGGCTGGAGCGGCCAAACTCATGGGGGTTCGATCAAACTTATGAAAAGTTCGGCCGAACCTATTTGGAGTTCGGTCGAACTCCCCTAAAATCCTCAATTCTGAAAAATTTGCACAAAACTTCTCCTCAAGACACTCTAAAATACCACACAATCATGCCAAAAGTACATGGAAAATGCATTCCCTTTGAAGGCAAGACAAACAAGAATACCAACACAAACCAAATACACACAAAACCATCAATCCAAAGTTGTAGAAAGAAGAATGAAAAACTTCAAGAAAATATAATAGAGGAGGGTTAGAAACTCAGGTTGCCTCCCGGAAGCGCTTGTTTAACGTCAATAGCTTGACGACCTCCTCACTTAGGAGGTAAGATTATATTGTACCAACTCAATTAAACCAACCTGAGCACCCTCATAGTAGAGCTTGAGGCGATGCCCATTAACTTTGAACGATCTCAGTCCATCTAAATCTGAAATTTCCACGGCTCTACGAGGGAAAACTTCTTTGACGACAAAAGGACCACTCCACCTTGACAAAAGTTTCCCGGGAAACAATTTCATTCTTGAATTGTAGAGAAGTACCTTGTCACCCACAAGAAATGTCTTCTTTTCAATGTGCCGATCATTCCATTCCTTTGACCGGGCCTTGTATATGGTAGCACAATCATAGGCATCCAATCGAAGCTCTTCTAGCTCATGCAAATCCAGCCATCTTTGCTCTCCTGCACTTGCCAAATCGTAATTTATTTTCTTTATGGCCCATTGTGCTCGGTGCTCAAGCTCCACCGGAAGATGACAAGATTTGCCATACACAAGTCGATATGGGATTGTGCCTATAGGGGTCTTGAATGCCGTTTTATATGCCCAAAGAGCATCATCAAGTTTTTCCGACCAATCTTTTCGATTCCTTGCAACCGTCTTTTCAAGAATCAACTTAATTTGACGATTGGACACTTCCGCTTGTCCACTAGTTTGTGGGTGATAGGTTGAACCAAACTGTTGATGAACTCCATGCTTCCTCAACATTCTTTGAAAAGCACTATGCACGAAATGTGAACCGTTATCACTTACCACCGCTCTAGGAATCCCAAATATTGGAAATATGACTTTCTTCAACAATTTCATCACTACCTTGTGGTCATTAGTTGGGGACGCAATGGATTCAACCCATTTTGAGACATAGTCGACCGCCACAAGGATGTATTGATTTCCATGAGAAGAAGGGAATGGTCCCATAAAATCAATACCCCATACATCAAATACCTCTAACTCAAGTATTGGTTGTTGAGGCATCTCATTTCGCTTGGATATGTTGCTGGTTCGTTAACAACGTTCACAAGTCTTCACAAACCCTCAAGCATCCTTAAAGATGTGAGGCCACCACAAACCGCTTTGCAAGATCTTCAAGGCTGTTTTGTTTGTCCCCATGTGGCCTCCACAAGGATTGGAATGGCACATCTCTAGCACACTTTGAACTTCTTCATTTGGAACACACCTTTGGAGCAAACCATCTACTCCCCTTTTGTAGAGAATGGGGTCATCCCACACATAATGTCTTGCTTCTCGTTTAAGTTTCTTCCTTTGATTCTTGGAGAAATCGGGAGGAAACTCCCTACATGCTAAGTAGTTCACCAAGTCGGCGAACCAAGGAAGCTCTTTCTCATTCAAGACATAAAGCACATCATCTCTCAATTCATCACATATAGGGACCTCATCATCACTTGCTTGCACATTCTCTAAACGGGAGAGATGGTCCGCAACTACATTCTCGGCCCCTTTCTTGTCACGGATTTCAACATCAAATTGCTGGAGTGATAGGACCCAACAAAAAAGACGAGGCTTGGACTCTTTCTTTGCCACAAGGTACCTAATAGCCGCATGATCGGTGTAGACAATAGTTTTGGAACCAATGAGGTAGTTCCAAAACTTCTCAAAAGCATGTACCATGGCAAGAAATTCTTTCTCCGTTGTGGTGTAGTTCCATTGAGCTTCATTCAAGGTCTTGGACATGTAGTACATCACATGAAGTCTCTTTTCAACTCTTTGTCCAAGCACACCCCTAATAGCTACATCACTAGCATCACACATAAGCTCAAAGGGCAAATCCCATCTCGGCCCTTGCACAATAGGAGTAGAAATCAAAGCTTGCTTTAACTTGTTGAAAGCATTGAGGCACTCTTCATTAAACACGAAATCAGCCTCCTTTTGAAGAAGAGCATTAAGGGCCTAGCAATTAGTGAGAAGTCTTTGATAAACCTTCTATAAAACCCCGCATGCCCAATAAATGATCTTACTCCCTTCACGTTGATAGGGGGTGGTAGCTTCTCGATTACTTCAACCTTGGCTTTGTCAACCTCAATTCCTGTGTTGGAGATCTTATGCCCAAGGACAATTCCTTCCTCAACCATAAAGTGGCACTTCTCCCAATTCAAGACCAAATTGACTTTTTCGCATCTTGCCAAGCACTTGCCTAAATTTGTCAAGCACTCCTCAAATGAAAGGCCACCAATCGAAAAGTCATCCATGAACACCTCCATTTCCTCTTCGAGCATGTCACCAAATATGCTCATCATGCATCTTTGAAACGTCCCGGGTGCATTGCATAGACCAAATGGCATTCTCCTGTAAGTAAAAGTTCCATAAGGACAAGTAAAGGTTGTTTTCTCTTGGTCATCCGGGTTTATGGGAATTTGGAAGAAACCCGAATAACCGTCGAGAAAGCAATAATACTTGTGCCTAGTTAGTCTTTCAAGCATTTGATCTATAAAGGGGATGGGGAAATGATCCTTTTTGGTAGATGCATTTAGACGTCTATAGTCTATACACATCCGCCAACCGGTCACCGTCCTAGTTGAGATGAGATCACCTTACTCATTCTCAACTACGGTCATACCCCCTTTCTTAGGAACAACATTGTAATACCCCACATTTTTATACGTATTTTAAATTTAAATAAGTATTTCTTTAAGTATTTAAACAATATGAAATAAATTATTTAGGGTTTCTTCAATACAAAAAGAATGATTTTAATTAAAAATATATTTTATTATTTAATAATCTTGAAAATATTGGATTTTATGATTTAAAATATTGGGGCACATTATTTTATATTAAATAATTTAAAAAGACAAGTTTTAAAGAAAGTCAAATCCTAATCCGATTAGGAAAGGGATTATTAAGGGAAGTAAGTAGGAGGGTTAAGAGGGAGTATAAATACTCCTCATGTGCCTAGGGTGAAAATTCACCCAAAGGTACAGTCTCTTTCTCCCCTCTTATTTTATTTTTCCTTAATTTTCCCCTTCCCCTTTTATTTATTAATTTATTTATTTATTGTTTACACCACCACCACCACACACGCCGGCCACCACCACCAACCTTTTCCGGTGGCAGCAGCCACCAGGCAGCGTGGCAGCGGCGGCCAGGTGGTTGCATATTGTGTATTCTCCGTTTGTAATTTTCTTAATCTCGATGTAATCACGATTAAATTCTAACTCGTCCGATTTTTAAAAACAAAATAGTGTTTTTAGTGTGTAAACAATATTCTAAACAAAACTCACTACCTATGGTAGTGAGCACCACCCTTTCGTGGCCAAGTTCAACTTCTAAATATGGTTTTCGGGCAGTTTTTGATTTTAACGAAAGATATATGTTGTTTTTCTTATTTTAATTAAATCTACCCTAAATCTAATTATTTTTTTGGGTTTTGTGATGATTCATAGGATGTTTAATAACAAGTATTTTAATTATAATTTTTAGATTTTGGTTTTTAATTAAAAAGCCCCAAGATTGGAAACCCTAGGTTTTTAAATTAATTTTATGGATGGAATTTGATTGTGGTTGATTGAAATTATTAAAATTAATATTTATAAGCCAAATTACAGCAATTTTATAAGTTTTAATAATGCTCGAATTTTGTGTTAAAAGAGTATTAATACTTCTTTTATAATTGTGGTTTATAGGAGAATTCCAAGTTAGCGATTTCGTGTAATCGTGGCTATTTTAAGATCATATTCAAGGTACGTTCGCGTACTTGGTAAAGTTTAAGTGTATAGAAGCATGTTAGGCTTTGTTAAATTAATTCCAAGTAGTATCATGATAGGTGTTGGATGGAATTTGTTGATTGGATTGATGTTGGTGAATGATTGGTGATGTATGATTTATTTATGGTGAATTAGTGATTGGAATTAATTGTATTGGCATGTTGATTATGAACCATACTTTTATTATTGGCATGTTAGAAAGCATGTTTGGTTAAACTGGATGTTTATCTTGGTTTGGATTATGGAAGAGGAATTTTATTATGGTTCATATAATTTTTATTAATGCTATAAGCATGAGGAATGAGCTATTTAAGTGTCTTAGTACACATGAAAAGTTATATTGCGGTGCCTAAGTTCACTTAAGGTGTTTCTAACACCGAAGGATAGGATTTGCGGTGCCTTATGCACTTAAGGTGTTATTTTAACACCGAGGTAGTTTAAAAAGGATTCCACACTAAAGTTATGTGGTCACTAAATATTTAAGAGTTTAAACTGGTTTGTTTGATTGCTTGAATGGATTGTAATGTTTGGTGTGTTGCGTTTGAGAGTCATCACCAAGTCTAATAATTTGTAAATCACGTAAAGTGAAAGAGATTACACACCAAAACTCTTGGAACGTATATACCTCGAGTATGAACATATGGGGGGGGTTTATGCGACTTTATATTTGACCATAACTCCTACTGGGGGTACAGGTCGCTATACTTTCCATTTTTATTATTTATTATGCGCAGGATCCATTCACTTCATGTGGCATTTGCCTACCCGGTTAGCTCCCGGTGTAGTTTACCTCAATTTATTTGAGGCAGGTAGTTGGTTGGAAACTCGTTCGATGTGTAATCAAAATTAAATAAATATTAATTAGTAGTCGAGTCAAATGATGAATGTTGTGTGCTTGTAAACAGGTGCATCGAGGTAAGTTGTATGGTGATAGGATGAAATCATGTTAGTGTGTGTTAATTACGCTTATGTACTCAGCTTTGCTGATTGTACTGTGTGTATTGTGTGTTTGTCTGGCCTTGTCTTTACCTTGGCCCTACGACGACCCATTTCTAATGGCGAGTAGTGGGGACAAGTAGAGAGAAGCTTTTCAGGTGATGATGCATAATTATGAAGGGGCATGAGTGAAGAGTGAATCATGCTTAGTTCTCGTTAGAATATGATGTGTTTATTGCTTTAATTTATTATTTAATTATGTTAATTGTGAGACTAACGCAAAGAGGTTTACAAGTGTTTTGGTTTAAGGGCCTACAATGGTTCCAAGTTGTAGGTTGACTTCGGTTGACTTTGTTTAACTTTTACTTTCGTTTGGTTTGACTTTTAAAGTTGACTTTATTTTAAATAGTTTTAAAGGTAGTCTTCCGCTGTGTGTCTTTGATAATTGCCTTAGCCCTTTTCACGGTGGCGGTAATGTCTTAGATTTTCCTTTTTCGTATTTTAAAAAGGGCAAAACAGGTATTTTAAAAGGGAAGGAATTTCTAGGGTGTTACAAACATGCACGGGGGAAACCTACCTTGAGCTCGAAATGGGGAAGATGATGCCGGCATCTAGGAGCTTGTTGATTTCCTTCTTCACCACCTCCCCCATTTGAGGGTTGAGTTTTCTTTGCCTCTCTATGGATGGATTTGCACCCTCCTCCAATGTTATGTGATGCATGCAAATAGCGGGACTAATACCCTTGAGATTATCAAGGGTATATCCCAAGGCATTTTGGTGGTTTCTTAACACACCACATAACATTCGAGTTTGGTGTTCATTAAAAGATGCATTCACAATCACGGGAAACGTGGAATTGGGTCCAAGAAATTCATACCTAAGGTGTGATGGTATAGGTTTTAGTTCTACCATAGGCACACCATTACCTTCCTTTGTAGGGGAAATCTCCATAGCATGTTTGGGTGTGATTCCCATGCAAGCTTGCTCAACATTTCCTTCAACATTCTCATCAAGCAACTCTTCATACAACGCCATTTCCTTGCTTTGATCACCTATCTTTTCCTTGTTTAACAAGACATTCTCAAGGGCATTGTTATCTTTTCCTTGTTTAACAAGACATTCTCAAGGGCATTGTTTGTAGAGAGCAAGTGCTCTTGCATAGAATTCACAATACAATCAATGGTGTCAATTTTCATGCATTTCTCTAAAGTAGAACTAGGATATTTCATGCTTGCACTAAAATCAAACTCAAGAACCTCTTCACCTACTTTGAGTGTAATTTTAGCACTTTTTACATCAATCAAAGCACCGGATGTAGCTAGAAAAGGTCTCCCTAGAATGATAGGACTATGTACATCCTCATCCATGTCAAGCACAACAAAATCAACCGGTATAACAAACTTTCCAACCCTTAGAGGAACATCTTCTACCTTACCCTTAGGGAATTTGATTGATCTATCCGCTAATTGGAGGGTAGTGTTGGTAGGCAAAAGCTCCCCTATATCAAGTCTTTGGTAAACTGTATATGGCATAAGGCTAACACTAGCCCCTAAGTCACATAAAGCACTATCAATTTGTATTCGATTTATGGCACAAGGAATGGAAAAGTTACCCGGATCTCCTAACTTTGGAGGCATCTTGTTCATTATGATAGCACTACAACTTTCGGTGAGGTTCATCGTTTCAACAACATCACAACTTCTCCTTCCACTCACAATATCCTTTAGAAACCTAGCATAATTGGGCATTTGTTTTTTGGCATCGGTAAAGGGTATTGAGAGGTGGACTTGTTTCAAGGTTTCTAGGAACTTACCAAATTGCACATCTAGCTTGTGTCTCACAAACTTATGAGGATATGGAAGTTTTTGCAATTGTGTTGGTTCCTTCTCTTTCTCTTTTTGAACTCTCTTTTCTTTTTCAATCTCTCTTTCATTTTCAACTCCAACTTCTTTCTCAACTTCATCACCTTTTTCGTTTTCACAACTTCTCTCATCTTCTTGCTCAAACTCACTCTCAAGGGAGGGCTCATTCATGGTCACTCTCTCATTGGTTTTCTTTGGCTCACCCTCCTTCAACAACTTCCCACTCCTAGTAGAAATGGCGTTCACTGGTCTCTTGGGGTCAAGCCCTTGTGGTGGAAGTTTAGAAGCACTATTTCCCTCTTTAATTGCATTGGCTAATTGGGAGATTTGGGTTTCTAGCATTTTGTTGTGATTCATAACCTCATTGAACTTCTTGTCACTAGTGGCCATGAAGGTATTAAACATTTTGGCTTAGCTCTCCATCATCTCTTCTAGGCTAGACTTTTGTGGAGGTGCTTGAGTGTAAAAATTGTCTTGTTGCGCTCTAGGACCTCTCACATTAGAATTTTGAGCATTTTGATTGTTAAAGCCTCTATTACCATTATTATTCCAATTGTTCCGGTTATTAGAACTCCCCCCTTGGTGGTATTGGCCTTGATTCCCATAATTCCCTTGATTATTATGGTTATGGTTACTATAACCACCTTGTTGGTTGTAGTTACCTTGGGGATTTTGGTCCCTTTGGTTTCTACCACCCCATGAATTTTGGTTATGATAATCATAATCATTTCCTATTTGATAATATAAATTTCCCCCTTGCCCTCTTTGATTAGGTGGTAAATATCTTTGATTGTCATTCCTAGGTCTATTATCGTAAGACAAAGCATTTACATGTTCATTTTCAAGTTCATTACCATCCTCATATTGGGGTTGGGGTTGAGAATCATAAGTGCAAGAAGAGGTGTCATGATCATATGATCCACAATTTTCACAAAATAAACACCCATTTGACATGTTATTAGATGTAGAAGTAGAAGGGTTAGAACTCATACCTCTCCCCTTAGATTGGGAGGGACGCTCTTGGTGTGAAGAGGAGGACTCAAGCTTTGCCTTGATTGATGTCATCTCCTTGCCAAGGTTGGCGATTTGAGACGTCAAATTATTGATGGCATTGAGGTGATCAACAAAGTAAACCGCACTCCCTCCTTTGCTTGAAGACTCCCTCTCTCCTTCTTGCCAATCCATGTGGTGTCTTACCACATCTTCAATGATCTCAATCACTTTCTCTTCGGTTTTATTCATGATTGGCCCACCGGCTCCCGCATCCAAGCTTGTTTTGCCTTGAGGACTCAAGCCTCCATAGAAGATTTGTAAAACTTGGTATGTTGGGATTCCATGGTGAGGGCACTCTCTTTGGTACTCCTTGTACCTCTCCCAAGCTTCATAGATAGTCCCACTAGCCCTTTGCCGAAAACCTTGGATCAACGCCCTTGCTTCGGCAGTTTTCTTTTGAGAGTAAAATCTCCCTAAGAAAGCCGTGGTGAGCTCATCCCAAGTTCTCAAGGAATTGGGTCTCACCTCCTTTCAAGCCATTCAAGAGCCCTTCCTATTAAGGAGAAAGGAAATAGCTTTAGTCTCACAAACTCTTGAGTGACCCCATTCACCTTGATCGTGTTGCAATATTTCTCAAACTCGTTCAAATGTGCAAGAGGGCTCTCGTGTTTTGCTCCACTAAATTGTCTCCTCTCAATCAAATTTATCATTGCGGGCCGAATCTCAAAATCATTGGCCGAGGTGTTTGGGGGAACAATCCCACTCGAAGCTCTATAAGCTCCCGGAGTTTCCAACTCCTTCAAAGGTCTTTGAGGTGGTGGCTGTGGATCACCCATTTGGTCTTGTTGTTCCTCGAAGTTGAACTCTCTAGTTGGGGAAGTAGTTAACGGCCTAGAACCGGATCTCCTTCTCCTTCTTCTTCTAAAAGTTTGTTCAATCTCGAGATCGTAAGGCACCAAAATCCTGTTATGGGTTCTTTGCATACACACTCAACAAGTGCAATGAGTAGAAGGCTACAAGTGTAGCCAAGAAGAAAACTCTTTTTGTATTTTTTTTAGTGAACTAGACTCAAGCAATCAGATAGCAATCAACAACACCGTTCCCCAGCAATGGCGCCATTTTCATGGGCGTTAGAACGGTCGCACATTCCACACTCATTCAAACACATTTATAAGCAAACATCTCACAAACCAAGAACAATGATAAGTAAGAGTTCGGTCCACAAGGAACGGGATGTAATCGCTAAAGATCTTAATACGCAAGCTAGTTCGAAAACTTTTGTTGATTGGTGGTTCGTCAAGTAGACAAACAAACTATTTTTCTAAATCAAGTAATTAAAAGTACTACGGAATGGGATCCACTTAACCATGGTAATCAAACATATTGGGAGCAAATAGAGACAAGAGATAGCAAGGACTATATGTAAAACCAACCTCATGCAATTAGGAAAACAACTCACACTCCTAAACTTAGATCCCACATTAGTTTAGCAATAGGAGATACATAATCAAATTGCAATAAGTAATGACATACTTAATCTACATTTCTATGTCAAACCAAGCATAACATGCCATCAAGCTCCAAATTCTAGGGTAGCTACTCCTATCATGAAGAACTATCAAGCAATCTCATACAATCAATTTAATCACAAATCAAACATCAATACTTCTCCCAAGTTTACTTAATTAACCATTAGGTTGAGTTTCACCCAACCCCTAGCCAAGAGGACTACTCACAATTCATTGTGAGTAACATGCAAAATTCCAAGTTGGGATTATAAGTAATTCTAAAATTGGGGAAAAGTGATTCACTATGGATAAAACTAACATGCAACAACAATTTATCAAGATTAAGAGAGATTCAAGTGACTTATAATAACAAAATAAAATCAGAAAATAAGTAGAGACAAGTGAAAGAAGTTACTATTGAAGCTTCAAAATGTTGAATAAATGCTGAAAATCTGAAAATGAACCTTGAAGTTTGCTTCTACAATGATTAGATTTTAGAGTTTCCAAACTAAATCATCAACTAATTTAATGAACTAAGGTGCTAACTAAGAGAAAGTATTTGCTGAAAACTATTCTACTGTTTTTTTTTTCCTTTCCTCCTCCAAAACCGATCTAAAAAGGAACTTAAATAGTCCGTACAAAGTTGGCTGAGATCGGGAAAAGGTCCGACCGAACTCTGGGTAGGTTCGGTCGGACTCTAGGTAGGTTCGGTCGAACCTCCCTGATCCTTGTTTGGTCGAACTTTTGAGGTTCGACCCCTCCTGCAAAATTGCTGAAAACTGGGTTGAAACTGCCTCCTTTGTACCTAGGAGGTTCGGTCAAACTTTTCAAAAGTTTGACCACACCTTGGTTCGACCGAACCTTTCAGAGGTTCGGCCACACCTCCTCTTGCACTTCCTCTTCTTGCTTCTTCTCCTTCCCTTTTGCTCCTCTTGCCTTTGTCCATGCCTCTATACTTGGCCAAGGGGCCTCCCACCGTGCTTAGGACCCCATGGAACCTGCAAATGATAGCAAAGATCACAAGAGCATGGGGATGATAAAATAATGCATAAAGATTATAAAAACAAGCGCAAATAAGCATACTTTTCATCAACACATAAAGAAGCCATAAGAGAAGAAATGAGGTAGAAAAACCTAAGAAAAATAGGAGGAAAGAGACCTAAACACTACCCCTAAGAGTGACATAAATGTCACTCATCAGAGGGAGAGGGTTTTAAGGTGGTAGGTTAGTGGTGGTGGCTGGCTGAGCGGATTCCGCGCCGGTTGATCAGATTCCCTCCTTGTTGGTTGGTCGGCTTCCACGCTGGCGGGCGTTGTCAGAATAGGGTGGTGGCTGGCTGGGTGGACGTGGGTGGTTGTTTTTTTTTTTTTAATTTTTTGTTAATTAACTTAAATAATTTTAAAAAGGAACCAATTATATGTTGCCACGTGGCCTTATTAGCCATAATGACTAACGATGTTAACGTCTGTTAGTTATTAATGGTAAGTTGTGACATTTTCATAAAATTGAATGATATTTGGTATATTAAAAAGTTTTTGGTGATACATGCTACTCTTTAAAATACTTTGTTTTATTAAAATGTTTTTCCATCCCAATTTGATGGGAAGAAAAATCAAACATGGGTGAATTACAATTTTCAATATTTTAATCTTCACTCCACTTTGCACAGTCCGTACCTTTTTTGGAATGTCGGAGTTTGACACTGTTCAATTTTCTCTCTCCTTCATTCATTCAATCTCTCCTCACTACTACTCTCTTCTCTATTGGGGGTGTCACTGTTTCTGAAAGACATCCCATCTAAAGCTCAAATCTTCAACATCAATATTATATATTTATCCCACCAATTTTTATGTACATATACTAATTAATTAATGGTTGATTTTGGTTAAACCCCTTTATTTTGTTGAAGGTATCCATTTCTACAGTTGTTTCTTCATCTTCAATCCTTCATCTTCTTTGCTGCCATTATTGATTAGTAAGTTCTATCTTTATTTCTGTCTCTACTTTCTGGGTTTTAATTGTTAAATTAAATTTTGTGTCGGCTGCTTTTTTGTTTTTATTTAATTAATTTATCTAATATGTTTGCTTGTTTGTTTAATTTTCAATTATGCTCTGGTTTGTGCTAATGGGTCCCTTTTATTTGTGCAAATATTTTCTGGGTATTTACTAATTTAATATAATTGTCAAGAGTTGATGTGGGTTTGGCCTGTAAATGAGAGAGGGTATAATTGATTTTAGTTAATTTGATTTTTAAGTAATATTTTAGGTCTTAAGAATTCAGGTTTATGTATGACATTTTGGTGGAATTTTGGGTGAGAGGATTGATTGGTGATGTGAAAAACCATGGTTTTTATCTTAGGTAGTGGAAGATGGATCGAAATCGAGTACATAGAGCTCGTTGCTCGGGTCCTATCCCATCAGAAGAATCAGCATTGGATCTGGAAAGGAATTCCTGTGGTCATCATAATTTCCCTTCTTTGAGTCCACCTCTTCAACCCTTTGCATCAGCAGGACAGCACTCTGAAAGTAGTGCAGCTTATTTCTCATGGCCGGCTTCCTGTCGAATAAGTGATGCTGCTGAAGAGAGGGCAAATTACTTTGCAAACCTTCAAAAAGGAGTTCTCCCTGAAACTCTTGGCCGGTTACCTCAAGGGCAGCGTGCCACAACTTTGCTTGAGTTGATGACCATAAGGGCATTTCACAGCAAAATTTTACGTTGTTATAGTCTGGGCACAGCAATTGGTTTTCGCATCAGAAAGGGTGTATTGACTCAAGTACCAGCCATCCTTGTTTTCGTGTCAAGGAAGGTGCACAAGCAATGGCTGACCCCCATCCAATGTTTACCTACTGCTTTGGAGGTAAAACTCTATTAGTTAAAAGTTTTATTC